CTATACCTCCACTGTGCTCTTCTACAAGTGTAAAAACACCTCCATGTCCCCCTAATCCTTGAGCAAAGCTCATACATTTGAAGAGCTTTGGAGACCCCTGAAAAACTCTGCAGTGATGGATCTGTCAGCAGGGCCAGGATTATTCTGGTGTCAGCGCTTGCCTCCTCTCTAGTCCCTGATGCTGCTCACACAAAGCTCTGGATCTTATTTCGAGAATTCATCTGCTCCAATTTTGTCTCCTACCCAAGGTCTCGACCCATAGCTGAATTATAATTAGTTGCCCTGAGGATCCTGGAGGAGCCTCATTTCAGAGGAAAATGCCTTCTGCTAGGCAGTGCCAATCTAGCTTGTAGTTAGCATCCGTGAATTTCAACTCTGAGAACTGCCTCTGCTAATGTGGCCCAGAGAAATCTGTCTTTCAGGATGGCCCATATTTGCTGTACTTTAGACAGGCCTCTCCATAATTCTGAAATTGCTTCTCCCAAATCTCATTTTTAAAACAATCACTGCTGAGAAAGTTTTCTTCCAAAGCTGCCTTGAGAATTTCTTCTTGAAACAAGAATAATGATTGCTTTTCTGAAAAATGCAGGCTGCAAAATACGACAGCTAAGGCACAAGACCGAGGGGCATGAGGTAAGAGTTCTCCTCCAGGCTCAGGGCCTGATCCACTGAGCAAAGGGGCTCTCTGTTCTCATTCCCATCTGTAGAATGGGATAGCATTTGTTCTCTTTATATTTTTAAGACATGACGTTGGCACCACGTTGGATTAATATTTTTGTTCTCTGGAAAAATAGATGTACTTGGAGAATGTCATTCTTAGGAAATGTACCTTTTCTTTGTCAAGATTGTTACACTCTGTTTGGGAGAGGGTTATGTTGCTGTCTTTACGGCTGAGTACATACAACATTGATGAAACTAGGAGATGAGAGCTGCAAACCATATAGCTTAGGACTGGCCATGTTTGATAATGAACTCTTGCTCTTTAGTACAAAGGGAAAATAATTTGTTGAGACGTCCCCTTGGGAATAGAAAGACATAAAGGTGGGGAGGTGTAAGGCTGCACTGGAGCCCAGAGAGGGGTTCTTGTCCCTCCTCTGCGTCCAGCCAGCAGTGTGCTCTTAGTTAAGTCTGCCCACTGCTCCAGGCCTTGGGTTTTCCTTTTATGAAATGAGCAGGTTGAGTTACATCTGTGGTTTTCACATATTTTATTTTTTAGCAGTGGAGCTCCTCTTACTTTTTTAAAAAGCAAACATAAACTATGCCAGGAGAGGCACCTAAACCCCACCTGTGCCTGTGAGGTTCTCCAGACCCATGATAGCATTTCCCGAGATGTCCCTGGGGTCTCTACTGCTCTTGAGGAGCAAGGCCAAACCCACTGGCCTGCCCTAGATGATCTCAAAGTTCTTTTTTAACCAAACAAGGAGAGATGTTTGTTTCTAATCTGGTTTATGCTCGTTTCATCCCATGCCTGGAGGACTGATGCTCTGTGATGCTCAGGGAGGGATCCTGCCCAGTGCCAAGGGTCAACCCCAGAACTGCTGATGCTTCAGGAAAGTGGTGTACAAAGGCCTGAGCCTGAGAACTCAAAGATGTGGGCCAGTGCCAGCCCCTGCAGGAACTGCTCTGTCTTCCACAGCCACACCTGCCTCTCTGTCTGCAGATGGCCCTGTTGCTGGCGATGGTTTTCTGCGTATGCAGGGACAGCTGACATACACTTCCTCCTTCCCTCCTCATGCATTCATTCACCCATTCACAGACATTTATTAATTGCCTCCTTCTGGACTACAAATGCCCTAGTGCAGGGGTGTCCAATCTGTGGCCTGTGGGCCATGTGGTGATTTTGTGAGGACATCATTTGCTTATCTGTGTTGTGTCAGCTATCACGAAAAGTATATGCATGGACTTTTTCCCTGCTAATCAGCTTTCCTTAGTGTTTGTGTATTTAATGTGTCACCCAAGACAACTCTTCACTGTTCCAACGGGCAGCAGAGAAAACAAAAGGTTGGACACTCCTGCTAGTGGGAGAGAAGAACAACCATGACTAAACAGCTCAGCAAAAAGCCGTGTAACCAAACGCCATGGGAGGAGCTGGAAGGAGGGCATCTGGCAGAGGAAGGGCACGGCAAGATCCCCATCCCAGCAGAGCAGAGAGCCCCATTGCGGCTGGCACACAAAGGGGGAGTAAGAAAGCACAGTCCCCCTCTCCTTCTGTGGCCCTGAGAAAGGGCAGCAGGGAGCCTGCTCGGAGCAGGCAGCTGGTGCCTGAGTGAAGGCTCAGGTGTCTGCCCCTGACCGGCAGAGGCTGTTTGGGGCTTCAGGAAATCAATTAATCACTTGAGCAACTTGCTCATTTTTTTCTCTTTGCCCTGCCCAGCTGTGAGTCCTTGGTCTGTGGGTGGCAGGCCCAAACCAGAGGAGGATGAGACCAAGAAAAGAGACTGAGAAAAGGAAACCAGGCGAGAGGGAGCAGGTGGCTGCAGCTGAGCACAGGGCCTGGGTGTTGAGTCCATAGGCCTAGAGGTGCTGCTCAGTGGCTATGTGACTCCCAGCAAATTGTTTGAGTCCCAGGGGGCCCAAGGCTTCCCTCAGAGGCTATCACCAAGAACACTGAAATTGTCCTTGGAATGGGGGCTGCTATTATTAAAAGAGAAAGGCAAGGGAGCAGGGAGACAATTAGGTAGAGAGTGAGACCACAGCCCATTTGTTTTGTGTTTTACAGTTTGCAAAACCTTCTTATCCACAGAAAGAGGAGATGGCACCTGTGCCGCCATGTTTGCACATGTGTTCCTGACTCTGCCTCCTGCAAACCAGCCATTCATAATGTCTGTAACAGTAATGCTAAGAAGCTTAAATATTTATTTTTAATGTTCACTTTGAGCCAGGCACTACCCTGGGCACTTTTTATCTGTTTTTTTTTTCTTGATTTCTTTTTGTTGTTGTTGTTGTTGCAGGTTGGCTGGGGCCAGGGCTGGGTTTGAACTCACCACCCTCATTATATGGAGCTGGTGCCCTAAGTCATTAATCCTTCACAACCACCTAAGGGATTGTAGGTACTACTGTGATTCCACTTTATAGATGAGGGAATTGAGGTACAGAAAGGTTAAGTGACTGGGTCAAGGTCACAGAGCTCACAGAAAGGTTAAGTGACTGGGTCAAGGTCACAGAGCTAGAATGTGGCAAGGCCAGGATGAGAGACATTAACTACTGCTAACCTCTCTGCTAAAGAGCAGGACAATGGGGTGAGAAAGTCACATCCCCTACCCACTGTGGGATACCCCAGACCTCACTTTGAGGACATAAATCTTACATACTGTTGCTTGAGGCAATTGTCACCAGGATGGAAGTGCTAAGGGAAGAGAGGAAAGGAACTCTGATCGTTCATCAAACATGTATCAAGCACCTACTCCATGCCTAAGGAGCTGGAGATCAATGGTGAGTAAGACCAACGTGATGGTCTCTGCACTCACAGGGTAGAGCCTAGCAGGGGAGACACACAACAAACCAATGTTCACACAAGTATTTTAATTCTACCTATGATAAGTGGTAAAATGTAGGAAGGAAACATTAAGGGTACCATGAGAATGAATGTATGAAGGGTTAGGAAAGACTTTCCAGACCTTGTAGGCTGAGTTAAATGTCCACATACACACACCCAGGCCTCTGCACTAACGGCATGTTATTAAGAGTGTGGTATCAGAAAGGGGCTATGGGCAGGTTAGCTGCCCCCGACACTGTCAGCTGCAGTTATTCTGGAGTGCACTTACCCTCGCTTTCTGCACTGCTTATTAGCACCTCTGCAAGAAGGTGAGCAGAGGAAAGGCCTTCTCTCTCTCTTTTTTTTTTTTTTTTTTTTTGAGACAGAGTTTCACTATGTTGCCCTTAGAGTCACAGCTCACAGCAACCTCAAACTCTTGGGCTTAAGCAATTCTCTTGCCTCAGCCTCCTAAGTAGCTGGGACCACAGGCACCGGCCACAATGCCTGGCTATTTTTTCGTTGCAGTTGTCATTGTCATTTGGCAGGCCCAGCCTCAAAACCTGCCAGCCTTGGAGTATGTAGCTGGTGCTGCAACCACTGAGCATGGGCGCTGAGTCGTAAGGCCTTCTCTTGATTTTGCTGCAACTGGTGAAAGTTTCAGTGCAAAGACTAGGCTTGATGACATTGGCTGGAGGGCAATTTCTTCTTGGATTTCATTTTTTTGGCCCCATCTCTATATCTCTTAAATCCAAAACTGAGAGTTATTTCACAGGGTGAGACTCATAGTTAAGAGGCTGTGCATATTGTTAGGATCACGTGCTGGGGACCAGCAGACATCATTCGGTCACCACAGTATCTAAGAGCTTTGCAACCAAGGGCAAGTCACTTAGCCTCTCTGTAAAGTTTTCTCATCTGTAAAATGGTGCAGCGAGTACTGAAGGCAGGCTGATTGGACATCTCTAATACACTTCTTTCTTTCCTAGCTTTACTAAAGAGGCCACAAACCCAAACACTCACATTTTCTGCTTCCCCCTAGGATAGAGGCATCTAGATGTCACAGTTTCAGCTTTGTCTTTGGGAAGACTTTCCTGAATAGGAAGGCAAGTCTTGACAGGCAGAGGTTTTGTGCCCTTTGCTCTTCCCCCATTTCTTGCCAGAGAGACAGAATTTCAGAGATACCATTTTTGTGTGATGAGGAACCAGGAAGAAAGAAAAGGCCTGGTTCTTTAATGACAGCCCTGACCAGCCAGTTGTACCAGCCCTGGATGTCTTGTTATTTCTATTGCTATGTCTTTATTTCTAAACTGATAGAAAAGGGATAAAAACAGAAGCTACTTCGTGGGTGCTTGTGAGGTTTAAATGAGAGGACATGTGTGCAGTGCAGGTCCATGGCCTGGCGCACAGCAAGCATTCAATAGATGGTGGCCTATCTGTTAACACGTTGAAGAAGGAAAAGCCTGCCACCCCTGTGGCATGTCCCTGCACAGAGAGCAGCAGGCAGGAAGCCGGGTGGGGCAGATCCTACCTCGGTCACTGAAGTCGTCGACCAGCACAATCTCGGCGACCAGCTCCGGGGGAGAGCGGTTCAGCACACTGTGGACGGTGCGCAGGAGGGAGGACCAGCCCTCGTTGTGAAAGGGGATGATGATGCTGGTGTTGGGGAGCGTCTCCAGGTAGCGTTTGCTGTTGCAGCTAGAGGAAAAAGCACACGGGTCGGGGGAGACAGGATCAGCTCTCATACTGCCAGGGGAACTCAGCCCTGGGCTGTGGCTACGTATAAATCCCACTTTCCCTCCAGCCTTTAGGGAAAGCGGGGGAGCACTCAGTCACTTTGGAACTTTCTTTTACTTACCATCTTGAAGTCTTGCCTCCAATCCTACACACACAGCACATAGGGACATGTATAAAAGGCCTCCCTGACTTGGCACAAAGTCATGATTTCAAGTGGGGGGCAGCCCTTCAAGAACACCCTGACCCATCTCCACATCTGCAATACTGTGATTTATAATCAGAAATGCATATTTTAGACCTGGTTGTTGCACAGAGCTTCTACAACTCTTGCCATTTCAGAGCAACAGAGGCGCTAAGAGAATGTGATGTTCAAATATTTAGTCTTTGATCAAGGTTTCTGACATAGAGCTCCTAAATCCCTTGGAATTTCCTAGGTAATAGGGGCATCTTTTGTTCTAATAAGGTGACTCTCGGTAGGCTCTGGGGTGAGGGGCTGGTCACCAGCAAGACTACGCTATGATTAGAAGCTCAGAACTTTCAGCCCCACACCTCATCCTCTGGGAATGCACAGTGAGGTCACAACTGAGCACGACTACAACATGAAGCTCCATAGACGTGTAGGAAGCTCCTTGCCACATGCCTGGCCCTGTGTAGCTCTTCATCTAGCTATTCATTTGTATCCTTTGTAAAATCCTTTATAATAAACTGGTGTGTTCGCCTGAGTTCCATGAGCCATTCTGGCAGATAACTGTATTCAAGGGTCATGGGAACCACCAATTTATAGCCAGTTGGTCACAACTACCAGAGGCCTGCATTTGTAATTGGCATCTGAAGTGGGGGCATCCTTGGGGACAGAGGTCTTTACCTATGGGATCTGCCTCTGACTCCAGGTAGATAGTGTCAGAATTGAACAAAATTATAGGACACCCAGCTAGTGCCCCAGAATTGCCTGCTGGGCAAAAACCCCACACACATTTGGTCACAGAAGTGTGTGAACAGCAGAGGAAAAAAGTTAGTTTTTCCTATTAAGCACTACCCCTTGCACATCCTCTCCAATGGAGGAGAGATGATTTACGTACGACTTTGGAAGAATAAACTGGGCTTCATTGGCTCAGCCTCTCCACGCCCCCTCCCTGGGCTCTGCTCTCCATAGCCCCATGGTAAGCTGAGGGGTGGAAGGCTCTGCCCCGTCGGCCTTCGGCATCATAACATCCAAAGGAATTAACATCATTCCTTAATATCATCGAGTATCAAGGTGGTGTTCAGTTTCCCAGTTCCTATGTCTTTTTACAGCCGCTTGGTTTAAATCAGGATCAGAAGGAGGTCCTCATACTGCATTTATCTGAGGTGTCTTCTGAGTCTCTTTTATACATAAGTTGCCCTGATTTTTCCCTCACAGTTTGCTTGTTGAAGAAACGGGGCCACTGATCACATGGGGCTTCCCATGGTTTGCATTTTGCTGCTTGCATCTCAGTGATGTCTTTTAACATGTTCTGCTGTCTGTCCCTCTTTAGTTCCTATACACTGGTTGTTAGATCTACAGGTGTGACCTAATTTGGTAAGAGAGTCTGGCAACCTCTTCCTAGCTGGTGGCATGAACATCCCTTAGAAGACACAAAATATCCAGTCGTCTTTCCTTTTGTGATGTTGGCAGCCATTGATAAGCAATGCCTAAATATTTTATTTCATCAGGGGCTTGGAAAATGATGATATTCTATTATTCCTTCTTCATTTACCAGCTGGACTACTTCTGTAGAGGAAAACTTGATCACATAAACTATTTGTTTACCCTAAAGTACAGGCAAGGCAGGGTAAGTTCTTGATTATTTATTTACTAGCCTTCAAAATGAGTTGGTTGCGTAATATCCTCTAAAGGCAGTCAATTATTTGTTTTTATTATGAACTCATAAGTGTGTTTCAATGTAATGCAGTTATTATTCCTATTGGCTCCCCAATAAGCCTGTTTTTAGGCAAAAGAAGTCTTCTTAGTTTGGCTCCTGAAATCTTTGGATGTGACCACAGAGTACTGATGGCTTCCTTGGTTTCTGATAAAGGATACAAAAGGATTCTCCAGGTTTAACTTGTACATTTCCTACCCTAACCTGGAATCAGCTGTTCTTCCAAGGAACGCTGGCTCTTACTATCATCAATGTCACCACGTAGATACTGCGATATGAGCACTAACAACATTCATTACTCCTGAGTTGGTTATGATTCCTGTGCCTTTTCAGTGGTCAAGTATGTTTTAAAGATGCATCACCAGTTTAAGCAGAAATTTTATATTTAACATGCAGAATTACAAAGTTTTATTTAACTCTAATTTTATATTGTATCTCCTTTTCACACGCTATAAGAGTCGCCCTTTCAAAGTAGTTTCAGTACATTTTAATATATTCACAAAGTTGTGCAACCATCACCACTATCTAATTCCAGCACACGCTCATCACCCACCAAAGAAACTCTGTGCATTAGCAGTCAGTCATTCCCCATCTCTCCCTCCTCCCAGCTAACCCCTAGCAACCACTAATTTGCATTCTGCGTCCATGGATTTTCCTATGAATAGATTCCTATGAACAAATATTCGGCCTTTATGACTGATCACACTTTTTTGTGTATGTTTGTTATTTTATTTTTATAAACCTTTAATAACATATAATCCACAAAAAGTGCAGAAATTACTCAGTGAACCTCTGTGACTAGATTAAGATGAAAAAGTAACTGAACCTCACTAGAGTCTCTGGTTCTCTTAGTCATTGCTCTGCTCCCATACTAACTCTTCTTTTAGTTTTTTAATTTCAGATTATTAAGGAAATATAGAATCCTTTGTTATATGGATAGATTTGTAATGCTTTAGTTGGGGCTAAATGCGTGCCTGTAATCTGAATATTGTTCTTTGTGCCTATTAGGTTAGGTTTAGAGCTCTCCTCCCCCACCCTCTTGTTGATTTCTAATGAATTTTACTTCATTCTGTGGCCATGTTTGCCCATCGATTAGTTCCAAATTATTAGGGAGTACATGTGGTGTTTGTTTTTCCATTCTTGAGATATTTTACTTAGGATACTGATGTTCAGTTCTATTCAAATTGCTGCAAAAGACATTAACTCATTCCTTATTATGACTAAGTTGTACAAACACACACACACACACACACACACACACATTTTGTTAATCCACTCATGAATTGTTGGGCACTTTGGTTGAATTTTTGGAATTGTGCACTGTGCTGCAATAAACATTTGAGTGCAAGCATCTTTTTGATAAAATGACTTATTTTCCTTTGGGTAGATACCCATTAGTAAAATTGCTGGGCTGAATGGTAGGTTGATTATAAGGTCTTTGAGAAACCTCCACACTGCTTTATATAGCGGTTGTACAGAACCAACAGTGCATAAACATGCCTTTCTCTCTGTATCTATATCAGTATCTATTGTATTTGGACTTTTTAATAAGAGCCATGCTGACAGGGGAAATAATTTTCCCGACTGACTGATGACATTGAGCATTTTTTCATGGTTATTGCCCATTTGCCTATCTTCTTTTGAAAAACTTTTGTTCATGTCTTTTGGCCACATTTTAATGGGTTTGTTGGTTTGTTTTTCTTCCTGATTGTGCCTGACCACACTTAGCATACTGTTTTCGAAATTTATTCATGTTGTAGCATGTATCAATGCTTCATTTTTGATGGCTGAATAATATTCCATTATATGAATATACCACATTTTACTTATCCATGCATCAGTTACTGGACATTGGGTTGTTTCTACCTTTTGGCTGTTATGAATAATATCCCTTGAATATCCATGTGCATGTTTTTGTGTAGGCATATTTTCAATTATGTTGAAAAGCAAGGAGTGGAATTTCTGGGTAATAAAGTAACTCCATGTTTAACTTTTTACAGACCTTTCAAACTGTTTTCCAAAGCAATAGCAGCATTTTACATTCCTACCAGCAATTTCTTCACATCCTCACCACGCTTATTATTGTCCATTTTTTTGATTATAGCCATCATAGTGGGTGTGAAGTGGTACTTATGGTTTGATTTCCATTTCCCTAATGGCTAACGACATTGAGTATCTTTTTCTAGCCATCAGCTATTTGTATATCTTGCATGAAGAGATGTCTAGCAAATATATATTTCATTTTCAGACTGTTCCTTGCTAGTATATAAACATACAATTGACTTTTATATATTGATCTTATATCCTATAACTTTGCTGAATGCATTTATTAGTTCTAATAATTTTTGGGGGTGTGGAATGCTTTTTTTCTGTGTATAAGACAATGTCATTACAAATAGAAATAGTTTTATTTCTTCCTTTCCAACCTAAATTCCTGTTATTACTTTTTCTTGTCTTATTGACTTGGTTACAAACTCTTGTACAATGTTGAATAGAAGTGACAAGAACAGACATCCTTATAATGCTTATGATCTTAAGGGGGAACAGCTTTCAATCTCTTACCTTTAAGGATAATGTTAGTATGGATTTTTCATGGATGTTCTTTAACAGGCTTGTTGAGAGTTTTTATCTTGAAAAAGTGTTGGATTTTGTCAAATGATTTTTTTTTTTTGCATCTACTGAGATGATGATGTAAGTTTTATCCTTTATTTCATTAATAAAGTATATTATATTGATTGATTTTCATATGTTGAACCAACCTTGCATTCCTGGGATATTCTATTTCGTCATGCTATAAAATTCTTATATATGGTTGAATTTGGTTTGCTAGTGTTTTGTTCAGGACTTTTTAATCTATATTCATAAGGGACACTTGTCTATAGTTTTCTTGTGATGTCTTTGATTTTATGTATTCCATTTCTTTTGCTAACAATCTAGGCTGTTAATATTAACATAGTTACTTAAATGCTTTTTCTTACAATATATAATAGTTTTAGAAAAATAATAACCAGTATTATTGCTAACAATATGATTATAGATAAGTTAAAATATTTTTGAATATAG